CCCGTATCCACCGAGCAGTTGGTGAAGCCGAGAACTAAGTCCCAGGACTGGAGAGGGCAGTTTGGATTATCAGTGCTTGACCCCCAGATCATAGACTCACAGACTGGTTTGGGTGGGAAGGGACCTTACAGCCCACCCAGTCCCACCCCCTGCCATGGGCAGGGACACCTTCCACTAGACCAGGTTGCTCCAAGCCTCATCCAGCCTGGCCTTGGACACTTCCAGGGCTCTCCCTAAATGCTGGTTTTCCTTTGACTCCAACTGCTTTTAAGCCAGTGGCACAACCTGCCCCCTCACTTTTCCAGAAAAGCATCTGACCAACCCACTGATTCGGCCACACACGGGTTTCACGTTTCATGTGTAGAAAGATAGAGCCTTTCTCTGCAAAACTTCCTCTGCCCGTGGCTTTGCCAGCAGCTTCCAGTTCCCTGGAAAGGGCGGCATGGCGTAGCTGATTGCTGTAATGTCAGCTCAGCCAGAGGGGAGTCTCCTCCAGGTCACTGCGGCTGTCCTCAGCACTCCTCACCAGACTAAGAAAGATGCCCTTTTCCTGAATGGATCCACGGATTTTAACGAATTGCTGAAGCGTGTCTTGTTGGAAAATTGTAATTGTTGAGGAAAAAAGACTTCAGGACTGACATGCATGTGACAGATGAGAGGTTTTTATACAAGAAAAATATGCTTGGGAGACAAATTTACAATTGTTGTAAGGCCTTACTCTGGGTAGAGACAGGTGGGTTTTAGCTCTCCACACAGACGTGGAAAGAAACAATCAGAAGGGTTAAGTCAAGATGCATTTGTATTCCTTCTTTTTCTACCACAATCCATCTGCCATTTGAAACAAGTTAAAAACCCTCATGCCAGACTGATTAAGAACCAGCACGGTGCAGATAATTCCAGTAAATGATATTCCTGCTTTTCTGACATCACGCACATAACCGAACGTGGGTTTTGCAGTAATGTTAGCGTCAGGATGATAGGTCTGCCCCATTAGAGAACCCACGTGAACGCCCTTTCTGTCTTGGCAGAGTGGACTACGAACGCATACAAGCCGTCGGCCCCGACAGGGCAGCTTCCGAGTGGCTGTTGCGATGCGGTGCCCTGGTACGCTATCGGGGCTATCAGAAATGGCAGCGGGACTACAACGGGCTCCCGACGGGGCCCCTGGGGAAGTACCAGATAGAAGCAATCGATGCCACGGACTCTTGCATCATGTACAGAGGATTTGACTATTTGGGTAATGTAGACACAGCCGAATGGTCTTGGTTCTTTCAGTTGCATCAGAATATGAATAACTGGGTCATTTTCCCATCCCTTAGTAAACCACAGAGGAATCTTTTGATAGCAGTTCCTCAGGTTTTGCTGGACGTGTGAAGCAGGAGGAGACTGGGAACTCCGTCACCCTTACCTGAAGTGACGGTAGCACTGTGGAAGTGTGACACAGATTTGCTATTTCGTTGAGCTCATAGCTAAGTGGTTGGTAGCAAAAAGCACTACTCAAAATACCCTTTTCCTGCTAAACCAAGAGATGGTTTTGGTGTCTGCGATGTCATAATACTGCTGGTTCTTCAGGCATTTATCATGTCTACAAAGACCCAAAAAAGCACCAGCTCTCAGTTTCTTACAAAATAAGATTAAAAGAGTGTTTGAGGTCTCCTTTAAATAACAAAAACGGGAAGCAGACCGTTTTCTGTTTTCATTGATGGGGACCTGGAACTTCCTGCACTAGTACGTCCCCAAGTCTGAGTCATGGTTGATACCCAACCTTGTTGATTTTTTTGTCCCTTGCCCATGTCAAAGCTCTTAGAATCCTCCCAGAAGGATACAAACCCTGGAGTTTCCATAGATCGGAGGTAGCAGCACGTGGAGCTCCGCTGTGCCCCGCTGGACAAAGGAGCGTGTTGCCGTGTGCTCTTGGAGGCAGTTGCTAAACTGAGGCCTTAACAGCCAGCACAGGTCGTTCCTGGGATTCTGATAATACTAATTTTTGTCTTTCCAGATGGTCTGGAGCATGTTACAGAAATCAAGCTGCAGAAGTGCATTTACATACGGGATGAGTGTCTGCAGAGGCTCAGCGAGACAAAGAATCTACAGAAGAGTCTCCTCCAGCTGAGGATAATTTCCTGTGGGAATGTCACGGATAAAGGCATCATTGCACTTCACAAGCTGATGTACGTGAAATGCTGAGCCACTCTTCCTCCCTCCTTGTTACCACCTGGCGGGTTTGGGGTTATTTTCACTGGAAGGGCTAAAGTCGGAATGTTTCTGGGCTGTTTCCGAGGTGCGTGGGGCTGTGGGATGGCCGAGTGCCAGGGCCTGGCTTGGCACTGCCTCTGCAGGAAAGGTTCCATCAAGCATGGTGAGAGAGTGCTGTGGGCAGCTCTGAAAAGACACGTGAATTAACATATATACATATTAATCAGCCCATCCAGGCTGGTGCCAGGGAGTTATGTGGCACTGAGGCCTGCAGCTGGGAAAGCCGGAATTGTCCGCTCCAGCACCTGGATCCACAGCTGTGCGTCTGTCCTCAGAGCTCCCTGGCGAGAGCAGTGAGAGCGCACGCCTTCTTTCACCTCACCGCACGAGGCGAGTTTGCTGGAGGATAATTAACGATCATCATCGCTCTAATTGTTACTTGCATTAAAGTAGCTTTTACTAAATTGCTATAGAAATTATTAAATACTGTTTAATATGAAGGCAGCTTCATGATGGGGGGTGCAGGATCGCTCTCTGAGCTGTGCAGGACTGAACTGGGGCTCAGGCAAACAATGTGAGCGCCTGCATCAGAAAACCTTCCCTTGGAAGCAGTAGCCTTGTGAAATACCCAAAATAATGATGGTTGAACAATCCTTTGTCTAATTTCTGTGTCAACGGTTAAGTAGCAGGTGCTGACTTTTCCTTTAAATATTTATAGGAACCTTGAATATTTATATCTGAGTGACCTTCCTGGAGTAAGAGAGAAGGAAAGGACTGTTCACATCCTTCAGCAGGCGCTGCCCAACCTAGAGCTGGAGCTGGATTTAGAATAAACACAACTGCATGTAACTGAGATGTATTGGGTTTCATCGTTTGTATCATACGTTGCAGAAATTAAGTTGTAGATGCTCCTGTATTTCCAGGTATGGGATAAGCCAAGATCTCCCAATCCAGCCTTAAAAGCTGTGTGCAGTCTTTTATGCAGTTTTATTAAGCTTAAGCTACACGGTGAGTCAACAACAGGGAACGCAGGTCTGCACACAGTCACCTCTTCCTGGTTTTGTAGGAAGCTGTTAATGCATCAATTAGGAGTTTGCAGATACTGTATCGCACACAAGTTCTTGTGCAAAATGACAGTGGGAAGAACGTCAGTCGTGAAAGAGCAGCGCTGTCTGCTTTCATTGCATCCAGCGCCATCCAGAGGGACTGGACAGGCT